TTTGTCGGAAAAATTTTTCTGTTTGTCGGAAAAGTACTGCCCTTGCCCCCCCCCCCAAAAAAAAAACATGGGTCCCACGGCGCCACTGTATATCACGGCAAATTTGGCGGCGATGGAAGAAAAAGTGGCCATGGAAGTGAATCTAAAATTCATTCATTTCATTTCAAAATGCCGTCCTCGGAAGAAGGTTTGTTACGTGATTAGGGAGCTTTAGATTTGACTACGAGTGCGAGATTCATCAAGCGAAACGCATGCTGTATGCTTACGCCATCCCGTACTAACGCAAAAAAGTCCTAGCCGTCGCCCATCTGAGTGCGAAATTGTGGAGAAATCTCGTAGTCCTCACGACGACTTTTCAAAAAAGCAAAGAAACTTTTTTTTTGTTTTTCAAAAATAATTTGTAGCATTTATATAGCGTTTATCCGGCGCAAATAATATATTTAGTACTAAATATCTGGCCTGTTTTTAATGTTATGACTTATTTACACGTTTTGTAGGGGATTTTTGTCTGCAGGAGATTTAGTTTATGAAACTTTTTCTCTCGTTGTTGGGTTACTGCTACAAAAGCAACATTTGAATGGAAACGAAAACGACTACGGTAATTTCCTAGCACGCGATCAAACTCGTTCTCGTATTCGTAGTCAAATCTAAAGCTCCTTATTATCTCGGTCCAGGATACGAATATAATGAAAATATTTTGATGTTGAATGACCAGCATAATATTCAAATGAGCATTAGAACTTTTAAAGTACGCATTATTCGTTCTTATGGTCGGAAGAGACGAAAACCAAATTTTGACATAGATTTAGTTCGCCAGAAGGTCGGAAATTAATTGGAAGGCGTCATCTTGAATTGAATTGAATTGGACGAATTTTGGATTCAATTTCGTAGTCCCGTTTACTTCTGTCCGCACCAAACTTGCGGTGATGTTTCGAGAAGAATTTGCGGATATGTTCCCATATAAAAAGGTACCATGCCACGTCTGGGCCCTCTTAAAAAATTTGTGCATTGTTTGTGCAATACCCGGCGTGAACAACGAATTTACATGAATATCACGAAGGAAATTTATAATCCTGAGGATCCGAGAACATTTAAGTCTGCTTGTTTGAAGTCTCACACAACTCGCCCATTGACTAACTTGTCGAATCCAGCATGTTGTTAAATTTGCTGTCTCATAAATTGTCAGTCGTTGATTGTAATTCGTTGTGCTTGTACTGTTTGTTGTTCTTCGCTTTTGTTCGTTTGTTCGCTTGTTTGTTCGCTTGTTTGTTTGTTTGTTTGTTTGTTTGTTTGTTTGTTTGTTTGTTTGTTTGTTTGTTTGTTTGTTTGTTTGTTTGTTTGTTTGTTTGTTTGTTTGTTTGTTTGTTTGTTTGTTTGTTTGTTTGTTTGTTTGTTTGTTGTTTGTTTGTTTGTTTGTTTGTTTGTTTGTTTGTTTGTTGTTGTTTGTTTGTTGTTGTTTGTTTGTTGTTTGTTTGTTTGTTTGTTTGTTTGTTTGTTTGTTTGTTTGTTTGTTTGTTTGTTTGTTTGTTTGTTTGTTTGTTTGTTTGTTTGTTTGTTTGTTTGTTTGTTTGTTTGTTTGTTTGTTTGTTTGTTTGTTTGTTTGTTTGTTTTGTTTGTTTGTTTGTTTGTTTGTTTGTTTGTTTGTTTGTTTGTTTGTTTGTTTGTTTGTTTGTTTGTTTGTTTGTTTGTTTGTTTGTTTGTTTGTTTGTTTGTTTGTTTGTTTGTTTGTTTGTTTGCTTGTTTGCTTGTTTGTTTGTTTGTTTGTTTGTTTGTTTGTTTGTTTGTTTGTTTGCTTGTTTGCTTGTTTGTTTTTTGTTTGTTTGGTTTTTGGTTTGTTCGTTTGTTCGTTCGTTTGTTCGTTCGTTCGTTCGTTCGTTCGTTAGTTGGTTGGTTGGTTCCATAACATAACACTTGAGTTTACGTAAAAGAATTTCGTGATCAATTGTATCGAAAGCTTTCTTTAGGTCAATGAAAATCACTCCGTTAAGCAAACCCTATCAATATTTACGCAACAGTTATTAGTCGACTCTAATAAAGCTGTAACGGTACTATATGATGCTCGAAACCCGGACTGATAGTTCGACAGTAAGTTGTTACTTGTCAGAAAGAAGTGAAATTGATCATAAACGGTTCTACCAAAAACTTTGGCAACCGCCGATATAATTGAAATTGGACGATAATTACTTAGATCACATTTTTCGCCATTTTTGAATATAGGTAAGACTTTTGCCATTTTCCAATCAGTCGGATAAACTCCCTTAGAAAGTGATCTATTAAAAAATTTAGTTAACGAGGGTGAAAGAATATCAGCGGCTATTTTCAATAATCTACCTGGTATTTTATCAGGGCCGGTCGCTTTGTTAGCATTAATCGTTTTTAGCAAACAATTTACAGTGCACAAACCAATTTCCCCGAAAGAAAACACAGTATGTGTGGATTGAATATTAGGGCTAACATTCGAGCTATGTATTTTGTTCGCAAGTTTCTCTCCTATCGAGGTAAAATATGAATTAAAGGCATCCGAAATTTCAGCCCCATTAGTGATTTCATTACCGTCAGGATTGACTTTTTTGACACTGGTTACATCACTCACTTTACGAGAGTTCAGATCGTTGACTAGTCTCCCAATTGTCCTTGGATTTTTTCGTGCAGCCTCAATATTAGTGATAAAATAGTTACGTTTAGTTTAGTGCGGGCGGGAGAAGAGGAGGCGGCAGTTAAGGGAACGCCTGCCCAAATGCCTATGTCAAATGTGTTTTTGGCTTCAATTCCCATTGTTCACTCTAGTTGACGGAAGTAATTACGTAACTCAACAATTTTCCCGCGTACATATTCTCATAAAAAATATGACAAATATGGCTGTTAATGAGTTAGAGGAAACTCTTTCTGATATTTCAAGTCTTTTAGATTGCGAAATTCAGTTGAAACCAGAACAGAGAAAGTCTATTATTAATTTGCTACGTAGTGAAGACGTTATCGCGGCTCTTCCTACGGGATACGGAAAAAGTTTGATCTTTCAATTATACATTATCGCTAAATCAAAGCTTGCTACATGTCAGCACGAGCAGGGATCGAATATTTCTTATAGCTGTCTTGTTATTTGTCCTCTTGAAAGTATAATTCAAGACCAGATAGCTGAGGCTACATCACTTGGCTTTGCAACTATGAAGTTGAACGATGATTTTAAGAATAATACTTCAAAACATGCTCACCTGTTATTTGCTAATGCAGAATACGTTTGCAAACAACCGTGGTTCAGGAACCTTCAACACAGAGCTTTTATCCTAATCTTTTAAAGGATAAAAGCTCTATACGTGTTGTCTAAAATGGCATAAAATCCCCCTAGTTGCCGAACAAAAAAAAAACATGCTGACTGGACTAAAAACATGCATGATGCAAAATATAGTCTCGACTAATTACAAAACGTCAATCACCCTTAATGGGCGAAAACAAATTTGTCATAGCCATTTGGGAAGGCGTTCCCTTAGCTGCCGTTGCCTTCTAAACGCCTGCTACGCAGGCTATGTAATCTATTGCGTAACTAATTTTATGTAATAGTTCGTGTTAAATGCCAAAATCTGTAAAATAAAAAAATAAAATAAAGTAGAAGACGAATATCACTATGTTGTAATTTTCATACTTCTTTCATTGAAAAGCTATTTAGTATTTCAGCGCATGTTTTGAAGAAAGAGATCATAATAGCATTGGCAGGCCGTTAGCATTGGTAGGAAATAGGTAGGTAGGTTGGTAGGTGGGTGCATGGTTGGCTGGTTAGGTAGGAGAGTCAGTGGCTACGTAGAATAAGTAGGTAGGCAAAAATCCAGAGGAATGTGTGGGTAAAATCACAGCAAACTAAATTTGCAGGATAAAAATTAAGCATTTACAACAGTTTCTGACACATATTTTTGTTGCTTTTAGTGTATCAAGCCACGACATCACCGCCATTGCTGGTCTAGATTATACAGCGATTTCAAGTCAAGAAATAACATTTACACCTAATGGACCAATTGAACAAGACATTGTGGTACAGATTAGCAATGATACTCTCCAGGAAGGAACAGAATCTTTCCTTCTGGCTGTTTCCTCACAAAATGTCAATACTAGAATTGGAGATAATGTAAATACTACTGTGAGGATTCTTGACAACGACGGTAAGTGTTTGTTCGAAGGAAACCTTGAAAAACTTGCTTTTTGTCTTGCTTTTGTTCCAAATACTCAATACATGCATGTCTCAAAATACAGGATTAACCATGGCTAGAAATCTGCGACAACATGGCCGACACGCACGCTTAGCTCCTTTGTAATGTAAATATTAAGTGAATAAGTTTAATAACCAGAAAAGCATTACGTTAACTTGCCTTTTCGGCTTTTGTTGGTCCTACAAACCAAATATGACGATTCCATAAATCGATCTTGAATGATAATCGTCGTAACTACGTACTTGTTCACATTTCAGTTCAAAATTCGATGCAGGCTTTGTTCCCGAAGCAAAACAATTTTGCAGTAATTTGCACATATAATCACGCGCACTTTTTACTAGTAATCCAGGTTATTTTCACGACGAAACCCCATAATCGCTTCAGTTTTCAGGCTGATCGTACATCAACATTGGATTTCCATAAATCGTAATCGATACACTTTGTTCTCCCCATAAATTTTATCACAATTTTATCTAAAGATATTATATCAATACTGTTCCCAAGTAGAGGAAAGAATGGTATATTTTTCCTCTATTTTCCATTTTAAAATCGCCCTGTTGCTTCGCTAAAACGCGATGCAAGCGCATCGAGATTTTGCTTTTTTTCATAATCTTGTTCGTGATTCATATTCTATAAAGGTGAGATAATATCAGCTAGTGACATAAAATATTAAACGTTGGACATAATTATGTCACTGACATGATTTACTTATCATTTAGCTATTGTGACATTGTCCATTGTCCAACAGTTTTAAAAAGTCATTTAAAGTCATTTGTCTAGTAAAACAAGCGAGGAGTTCTCACTTACCGTTCTTTTTCTTTTCCGACAACTAATCAGTCGCTCCACAGGATAATATAAAGGAGTTGGAAGTGTTTGCCGACGAGAAGGAAGCATGTCTTTATTGGGCATATACATTTAAAGAGCGTTTCTTTACGTACTTTCCGGCTTTTCAATATGTTCATTAACATGACGTACTGACAGTGCGTGTGGCTGCATTACAAACCGCTGCCTGTCGCAGATTTCTAGCCATGCTCTTATGAGCTCTAGTCTCAATGCGAGTACATCGTTGAAAATATTGTTACATAAGTATCACATTTCTGGTCTTATTTTAATTCTTATCCGGTCGATTAACCTTATTGTTAACAAAAAATTCCATCTTGTACGTTAGAGAAATGGTTTTAGCAATACAATCTTGGATGGTTTGTGTCAGTGTAGGTAGTGCCAATAATAAGAAAGCTTCTGATTGATAGGGATACAACTACCTGAAAAATACAAAGAGAACTTCGACGTTTCGAGCCCTAGTTCACTAAAGGCCCGTTTACACGGGCGATTTTTGCTGCGAGTTTAGGGCGATTTTCTTCTTCTGATGGATGTGAAGGAGTGGATAAGTTATAAATGTTCCAGGTTGTGAAATTTCATAACAACGTCATTAAGTAATCTACTCCTTCATATCCTCCAAAAGGAGAAAATCGCAATTAAAATCGCAGCAAAAATCGCCCGTGTAAACGGGCCTTAATAAGGGCCTAATGACACTAGCTTCATTTAATATAATATTCTTAATTATTAGAATAACTTAATCTGTCTACAGTATAGCTTGTCCTAAAATATGATTTTCAGAGCCTATAAATAACATAAAGTCAATTTTTAAACCATAATATTTTTTGTTCATATTTTACAGTTGTCAGTGTCGATTTTGTACTAACAAGTGCTAATGTATTGGAACAAGTTAGTGCTGCACTCGTTGAAATTGAGATACAAGGAGCCCGAACACTACCTGTCACCGTTAGGTAATTAAAGAACAAAGAACATTTATGTAACGCTAATATTACCCTTGACTCATATACCTTAACAAACGTAAGGTAACATCTGTTGTAGGCTTTTATGCATATTAATATAATGCCCTTTTTGTCGAAGCCACCACAATTATTTCAACAGCAGTCCAGGAAATTGGGCAGGAATAGTATCTTAATAAAGTGATAGAGTTGAATCAGTTGTTGAAAAACTCACTTCTGATTATGGTCTCAGGTATTAGCATACCAACATTCAGACACTGCATAAGCTACTGAGATCCCCGATTGGAGAAACTCTTCATTCATGCTTGAGACATTCAGGAATTCATTTTTCAACAAGTAATTTGACTGTGTTTAGACACCATATGAAGCAATCACGATTATATTTATATACCACAAACCAACATATATTATGTTCTCTTTCAGAGTTCAGTCGATCGATTTAAATGCAGAATCTGGAAGCGATTACACCGCAGTTGACACAGAAGTTACCTTCCAGACATTTGAAAGCACAAAAAGCGTGCCTGTGCCGATAATAAACGATAATTTGATTGAAATTGATGAACAATTTATTTTACGTCTTTCAACTGATGATAATAATGTTACAATTAACGATAATGAAACGAGGATAACAATTGTAGATAATGACGGTACGTGATATACTGTATATGAGCAGGCAATCTATTTCTTAATGAATAAATTCAAGATATTGTTGGAACTCATTGAGCTCTTCACCGATAACACACATTTCTGGTGCGGAATCGGTCTCGTGCGTTATAAATGCATTATGCGTTATTCTCTACTCCAGAAAATGCAGGACAAAGATTTATAAATTTCTCGTCAAATGTTCATCAAAATTCTGCCAAAATTTTTCCAATTTGTCTTTACCAACCATCGGAGGTAGGAATGTTTTGGCTAATAATTTGCTCTTTTCTTGTTTCAGTGGCTGCCATTAGATTTGAACAATCATCTTATACAGTCAATGAAGCAAATGACAATGTGACCCTTCACATACTACAAACTGGCAATCTTGGTATTCCAGTCACAGCAGAGTAAGTGGTTGTTATTTTTAGTTATTAGTGGAAGGGAGACACTTGTCTGGTTCATTTCTTTTTTTCAATGGGATAACATGTATTACCTATTCAAAATTTTGGTTCAGGCAAATGTAATGTCAGAAAACGCAATAAATACATTCTTGTTGAGGGAAAATTATCAGGCCTAGCACGCCTGAAAGCCACCATAATATCGTCAACAAATTTCCATTTCGATCTGCATGAAAGTTAGTGTAAAATGTTATTCCCAGATGAGCTGGTCTCTTGTAACATAGCCTTTAAGCCAACCACGAACAATTTCATTCCGAAACAGAAGCATTCCATTATATTTTCAAATTAAGAAAGTGTGCTTTTATGGAAAGTCAAAAACCCTTGTAGTTGGAGGTCAGGGGGTAGGTGTCGGAAGTAACTAAGGAACAAAGCTGCACCAAGAAATTTTCACCAGCTTGGTGTCATTTTCATTAACAAATTTACCATGATTAAATTTTGACCAAAAAGTGTTGCAAGTAAAGGATCAGAAGGTTTGGCCACCTAAATTCCTGCACCCAATATTTCGCTAAATGTCTACACTTGCCAGGGCTGTTGTCCAAGTGAGGAAAAGTATGCTAGTGCACCTACAATTTGAATGCTGAATGAAAAATTGCGATTTACAAATAATAGCTTTTAAGCCTATCGTTTCAAAGGTCTACCAAAACTCTAGCAAACCCTTTTTTTAAGAGATTTTAATGAAATATATCTATATCTGAATTGCCTTTCTTGCAGGGTCCAGCTTGATGCACAAACTGCTGATGGTGGTACAGACTTCACAGTCCCAATAACAAGGACACTGACGTTCTCACCCAGGTCTAATAGAGCAAATATTACTATAAATATCATTGACGATGATATTGTTGAGGCAACGGAAACATTCTTTGCCGATCTGGCGGGAATTGGTTCTAAAGTTATACTAGGCTCACCTCAGAGAACAACTGTGTTTATCCAGGATAATGATAGTAAGTCAGTTTCCATATTTACTTCATTCACGTATTTCATCCTTAAAAATCCTCTTCCTTACCCTCTTAACTCATCAATATTTCAATAAATTTTAAACATCAGAGTGAGTGTAGTAAATTAAAACAAAAGATGAGCCGATGCTTATAAACAGTTTTGACTAATATAATGAGTGAAATCTCGCATTCTTGAACAGTTTCATACAGTGCTTTTTACCACTAAGTCTAAGATCAGATCATATGTACGACTTAATCTATTGTAGTCATGAGATTAGGATTATTATGCTCAATAGTAACACATTTCTACTCGCTATGGAAATAGGAGCTAAAAGAACGGGATCGAACAACTCGGTCAAACTTAAATGCTGTTAATTGAGTGCCGTGAATGAAGAGCATCTTGTTTGCTTTCCAATTAATAGTATTTTGTTTGCTTCCAGAAAAAGTGTTTTGGTAACTTTTGTATCAAGTAACCGTTCTTTTGCCAGTAGTAAAGTGTAATCAATATGTTTATTATTTGTGTCTCAGATTCCCTTGCTCGTTTCCTAATTTCAACAAGAATTTTGAATGAAGATGCAAGATTTTTGAATATGACAATCGGGCTTATTACTGTTCATCCTTTACAAAGAGACGTTTCAGTAAGGTAAAGTGAAACTTTTTGCAACTATGTTTCCTCGTGCAGTAGCGTTGGGAATTATTGTGGCGAAGAGATCAGAGCCAACCAATGGTACCAACGATTTTCACCTCTAGGAATGCGGGTGTCGGTATAGCTTTGATAGAATCGAACCCAAAACATTCGTGTGTATACGGTTTTGAAGATTGTGAGGTTTTTTCCAAGGAACTTTGGTTTCCCACACTGACATTCGTCAGCGTGCGCAAGGATGCAAAGAGAAGTAGATTGTTTTGTGATGTCTATTGTGCTAAGTATAGTTTGTAGATCGGCAATTATATTATAGTCGAAAGAAGGCCGTAATACTAAAAAGTATTAATAAATGTTTGTGATATGTTACATGGATTAATATAGATTGCAATGCAACAGTAATAAACCACAGTCATTCTCTTTCCACAGTTATTCAACTGAAGAAGGTACAGCAGAATCTCCTGAAGATTTCTCAAATGTTGTTGGATCAACTGTGATCTTTAGAGCAGGAGATAGTCATGGAGCCAGACAATATGGAATTGTCCCAATTATTGATGATCAAATAGTGGAAGCCCCTGAGTCATTTATTATAAGGCTGATATCAGTAGATTCTGGTTTGATTCCCACAACATTTTCATCGACTACCATCAGTATCATTGATAACGACAGTACGTGGTTATGGGATTTTGCTTAGCCAATCATCACCATCAGCATAGTGTTTATAATTATGATGTCATCGTCGTCATCTAGCAAATGCTATTTTTATGATGATTATAACTATTACCATAATTATTATAGTCATCATGATTATCACCATCAATACTACCATAATCATCACCACTACCATAATAACCACCATAATCATCACTATCATAATCATCATTATCACCATCATGATTATAAATATTAACACCATCATTGTCCTCATCACTACTACCATAGACATCATCTTCATCTTCTTATCTCGTCACGGACATCATCTTCATCGTCTTATCTTTGCCGCTCTCCATGTCACAATGCTATAATTATTGAAATTTATAGGAGCAACCCTTGCTTTTGCACAGGCAGCGTATTCAGTAAATGAGCCAGCCACTCCTGTACAACTTCTCGTGCTGTTAACTGGAACGATTACAAGAACCGTTACGGCTAGGTAAGAACATTACAAATTGGTAACTTTCGCCTTGTTGATTTTGTTGTTATCGACTGTTGTTGTTGCTGTTGCTGTTGTTATTGTTATTGTTATTGTTATTGTTATTGTTATTGTTATTGTTATTGTTATTGTTATTGTTATTGTTGTTGTTATTGTTGTTGTTGTTGTTGTTGTTGTTGTTGTTGTTGTTGTTGTTGTTGTTGTTGTTGTTGTTGTTGTTGTTGTTGTTGTTGTTGTTGTTGTTGTTGTTGTTGTTGTTGTTGTTGCTGTTGCTGTTGTTGTTGTTGTTGTTGTTGTTGTTGTTGTTGTTGTTGTTGTTGTTGTTGTTGTTGTTGTTGTTGTTGTTGTTGTTGTTGTTGTTGTTGTTGTTGTTGTTGGCCTGTTGTTGAGATGCAACAAATTGTTTTTGATCTTGTAAGTAATGTTGTTTGGATTTTGTTTTATTTTGGTTTAAGCAACTTTAATTTATGAACCTGTTGTGTTTTAAGCGTCTTCTGACTCTCATTTTGACTTCTGATTCTCACTGTAAATCATGTTCACTTTTTGTATTTCCCAGATTAAGTACATTAAATATTGATGCAGTTGGAGGAAGCGATTATAGTTCTATTATAAACCGGCAAATAACGTTCAGTCCAGGGGATCCAACATTTCAATCTGTCGATGTCACTATCAATGATGATGCTATCGTTGAAAATAACGAGAGATTTACAGCGACACTTACAGCAGAGCTCGGTGTAAATATACGACCTGATGGTGCCACAACAACTGTTACTATCGTTGACAATGATGGTGGGTATACTGTTATGCTGAACTATGAGTCTATATTAAATTCTGATCATATGCATGTGACAGTGATCCTTGACTTTATCTTCGCGCAAGGATATTGAGTGTTATATAATTTTGCAGCGTGCATTAAGTTGAAATACATTTGATCTTTATAATTTAAAAATCAAGATCTGAAGTTTTATATTTCACAAAAAACACTTAATAATTGTTTTAATTAATTTAACTCTTTCTCAACAGGGTCCATTACGCATAGAACGTGCACGTTCTACGGATGTTTCATTTATATCTTCGGTTCAGTACACGCTATGTAGATGAAAATACCACCACTCGATTCAGTATAAAAATATATACTAGTTTATAACGATAGCTTTAGTCACTGGCTACATTGTAGCGATTTATGAGCTTTGAAAGTCAAACAGGCTTATATATAATCAAATTACGCAATATTACTAACAAATTATAAACATAGACATACCTTTCGCTGAACATAACTTCGGCCCCTTGAGACGTATGCTCATTCTTGTATTCTTGATGTATGAAGCAGTTAAAAATAACACGTATGTAATGTAGCACGTCATGTCACGTGATGTAATATATATTTAGGTATCAGAAAGAGACCACGTGTAAGAAAATAGGGTTTTGATATTGAAGGCAATAAAAGTACATTTTTATACTGTACAACTTGTACTAAAGAGATACATTATATTTGGCGACGAGTTTATTTTAATGCTGAACCCAAACGAAGAAGAAGTGAACACAGAAGAAATCTCGATGGCCACAATTTTGGATTTAAAACCACCACCTCCGTTTGATGCAGAGGGTGATAATTCCTCGCTAGCCCAACGCTGGAAAGAATGGCGAGAACGTTTTAATATGTATACAGTAGCTGCCAACATCAAGGATGATGCACAGAAACGCGCAATGTTATTGTATGTAGCTGGCCCGTCGGTTCATAAAATATTCAAAACACTACAAGACACCGGGACAGATTTCAAAACAACTCTAGAGAAGCTCGACGAATATTTTCAGCCACAAAAGAACGTAATATATGAACGCTATGTGTTTAAACAGACACATCCAACGCCTGGAGAATCGGTAGACAGCTACATAACTCGTCTACGTACACTAGCCGAAACGTGTGAATTCGAAAGCGCCGAGAATGAAACACGCGATCAGTTTGTTATGGCATGCTCGTCTCATGGATTTCGTACGAAGCTTTTACGCGAGACAGATCTGACATGGGCTAAGCTTATTACCATTTCGCGAGCGAAGGAATTAGCAGAAAAACCAGCGTCGAATATCTCGGGACACAATAAATCTCGGAACAATGTTAATCGTGTAAAAGACGAGGGAAATGACGAAGCTAAAGACAAGGTAAGACATGCTAAATATGTACCAAAACCACACAAACAAAATCAATGCCGAAATTGTGGAAATGAATTTAAATAAGGGCATAAAGATGTCTGTCCTGCGAAGGGCAAAACCTGTAGAGCTTGTGGAAAGCTCAATCATTTCGCTACAGTTTGTCGAAGTCGAAAAAATCCCCCGAAAGATAGTAAGAAAGATTCGAGAGAGTCTGTGAGAGTTGCACAACAACAAACCCAATAACAAAGCCCTCCTAAGTCGTCCGACGATGAGTATACTTTTGCTGTTTCATCATCAAAAATAACTAACATTCAAATACAGATCAATGGGACCCCTATCGCTGTGACTATCGATTCAGGAGCGACGACAAATATTCTTGATAGTGAAGCATTCGCTTGTATTAGGAAAAGAAATAAACATGTACAATTAGAGCCAACACAAACAAATATATATGCATATATTTGCATATATATATGCATAATGCCGTTCAGCCCTTGCCATTGCTCGGAAAGTGTCGTTTAGCGGTTGAATCGAATGGAAAGCGTACAATATCGACGTTTTATGTTGTCAACGGCAAAGCGGGATCACTTCTCGGTAATGAAACAGCCGCAGAGTTAAGCCCTGTTTAAACGGATCCAACATTGTTGGACCAACAATGTTACTACAATAGATATGACTCTAACAACCCCTCTACGTGAATTAACAACCAAATCGTGTAAATGGTCTTGGTCAACTATGCATGAGAAAGCTTTCACCAAAGTTAAAAATGCTATTGCTTCGGACTGTACGATGGCATTTTATGATCCAAATCGACCTACAAAATTGACAGTGGATGCAAGTCCTGTCGGACTTGGTGCAGTATTAGCCCAAACACAAGAAAATGGGCAAGATCGCTGCATAGCGTATGCTAGTCGTTCCCTAACACCTGTGGAAGCTCGCTACTCGCAGACCGAAAAAGAAGCATTAGCTGCAGTGTGGGGTTGTGAACGTTTTCATCTTTACCTTGTTGGAACACAATTTGACCTCATCACTGACCACAAACCATTGGAAGTCATTTACAGCCCAAAGTCCAAACCGCCAGGGCCGCCCAGAGGTTGGCGGGGGCCCGGGGCAAATTTTTTTTAGGGGGCCCTACCTAAAATAATTTTTCCGGAAAATTTTTTTCCGGATATTATTTTGGCGACCTCCCCCCCCCCCGTCGCCAAAAATTTTTCGGTCAGTGTACCATTTTAGAGGTAAAAAAAATTTTTCGGACGCAAAATTTTGCCGGACGCGTACGTTGCAAACGCTTTCAAGTGACTTTATCTCATTTTTTTAGGCCAAAATTCGGTACTTAGCCCAAGAAAACAGATATCTTGTCCTTTGCGCGGAAATATTTAACACACAAAAAATGCGGGGCCCCTACAAAAAATTTTCAGGGGCCCCCAGCAACTCGGGGCCCGGGGCAAATTGCCCCCTTTGCCCCCCCCCCCCTTCTGGGCGGCACTGATTATGTAACAGTTTGTTTTGTTCTCTTGAACTGACACAAACCATCGAACTGAAGCATTGAAGCCAACCAGTGAAGCCGTTTTTACAAAAGGTAATGTTCCGAAGTTAACCTAATTCCCAGTGGTGTATAAAGGGTTTAATGTTTGGAGGGCTTTAAAAAGTTTAAAAATAGAGGCTCGGACTCTGAAAACTTATACAGCAACAATGCTTCCAACAAAGTGTTTTAGGGTCCATTTTTTGTGTAGTTTAAATGACTTACTGAGGGGGTCAGCGAGCTATAATAGCCCGCAAATGAAGCATAATTGAACACAAAAATTGAATTACTTGTATATGGAAAAGAGCTGAAAGTATTAAAAAAAGAATGTTTTTGTATAATTACTTTATCTGCATACATTGATATGACAAATGATCATGAAAGAAATATTTCACACATTAAATATTTCTTAGAGCGTTGTGGGAGGAGGCCAAACCTCTCTTGTGCAAAATATTAGGGGGACCCATCCCCCTGGTTCGTACGCCGGGCAGTGCATCCCCGCCTGTAACTTGTTCATGGCGCGTCGAAATATTTCTTGAAGATGGTTTAGTCGGAATACAATGACCGAAGATCAATTATTTTTTTAATAGCAAGATGATGGCTGGAGTCCTAATTTTCTTGCATGGTTGTACAATTGGGAATATTTCACTCATAAACGCTTCTCGAACCTCGGAAAATTTAATTTAATTAATAAACGTTTCTCAAACCTCTCAAACATTGGGTGTCAGCACAGGTAGTAAAGGATACAAAAAGAACTTACAAAAATAACTTAATTTAAGTCGGTTTTCCTGAATTTTGCTTTGTCTTGTCTGAGAACACCCGAGAAATCACAAGACAAAGAAAACTGGCTTTACAGTAGCAGCGCGGCCTGCGTGGATTGGGAAAAACACATGTTGGTTTATACTAGTGGATACAAAATAGATTACGTGGTATAAATAGACCATTCAGATAGATTTAGTCAAAATAATGTGTAAACAAAAAATGTCATAAATATTTCAGATTATTTAACTAAATATGAAAGCTAGGAGATTACAGAAATACACGAAATATAATCCGGCAAGTGACCAAGAGTAAAGGAACTTTCAATATGTCTGCTGTAGTCAAGAATGCTCATTAAATGCGTTTGAAGTAATATTCTTAGTGTTTGTAAAAAGTAAGAAAATAACGTTACCACATTGTTCCTTGGGCTTAAAACAAATATTTCATGAAAAATTGTTAATGAAATTATCCAATTCCTCAATCTTTCTCCTCGTTTTTTAACAATCAAATCACGTTAGCTGTCAAATAATTGTTTAAAAATTATTTTTCCAAGTGTATGTTGAAAACGTGATTATAAAACAACTAACTAATTTTTGTAACTAGAAATAATATAAAATCTCCTTCAAATGCAATAATATTATATAAATCACACGTTTTATTATATCATGATAACGTCATAGTGATGTCATTGACTTTCATAATCTAATTACGTAAATTTATTGTCAAGTCAAGACAAAAATGATTATTATATATCATTAGTATAAACCTACTAGTAGGCTATCACATATCGTGGCTTCTGATTGGCTACGCTACTAGTAGGCTATTAGTGATAGCCTACTAATAGAAAATTCAAAATGGCGGAAAATTCGCATTTTGCACTTTTGCCGAAGTACGTGTCTGATGATTTTTTTGGACGACTTGTTGAACAATTCTGTACTAAAAAACCCCGAAAAAGCAACAAAAATATGGAATGGCAATTTTTAAGGGTAAGAAAATAGACAAAATAACATACACTCAATGAAATTTTAAAATTAAAACTGAATTTTTTAAAACATTTTACGCGAACAAAAACTAAAATATTTGTTTACCTTTAATGGTTTTATAATGTTTTTTTGTGTATTTTTGTATTGTGTTTGCAGCCTAGTTGTAAATTAATGTTAAAGTTTATACTAAAACAATTAGACAACTCAGCCTCGTTGTCTATGAGCAAATAGTCAACTCGGCTTCGCCTCGTTGACTATTCGCTCATAGACAACTCGGCCTCGTTGTCTAATTGTTAAATAGTCAAAGTCGCATTTTTCTAGTGTTTTATTGGTTGAAAAAAAATCACGTGCGCCATCACGTGAAGATGCGACCTTTGGACATGCCTAGTTACGTAATTAAAACTTTCGCTTTAAGTAACTGCAGTGTAGCCAGTGTTTAATATAACGTTTTAACAATAAAATATTTCATGTATTTACGTTCATTTGTTCTTTAATTTGACGACGGTCTCGGGTCCACAAAACACACTGTTTCCCTCGGTCTCAGTAAATAAGTGATAATTGACAACCTAAAGAAAAGTTACAATCGTATTTTCTCGCGACAACTTAGACATAAAATTGGCTTAAAATTTGCATATGTAGAGACATATTCCCCACCACTTCCCCCCAGAACAACGTTGTTTCCATGATACCAAACCACAGTGTTAGCTAAAAACATTCACCCAAATTGTCAATGGTAGGAGGGGGAAAATAGTAAGAAAAAATCGAATTATACGAGTGTAGATGTTTCAAAATGGAAAAAACTGTTTGAAATACGTAAAGTCTCATTATTTCTGCACTTGATTGTAGTGTAAAACGCCCTTTATGGGTGTGACGAGTTAAAATTAATCGTCAACGTGGGCGCTGCTATAATGATCACAGACCGAATAAACAATACAAAATATTTTTTATTATTCTTAACTTTCTTAAAAAACCCAACCTTACCTAAGCTAGATATTTTTACTAATATAAAGTCAGACTGAGTTCATACCACTGCTTCGTCTTTCTGTCTTCGGCTAGCCCTGAAGGTAGTTACCTCTGTTCACAACCCCAACTTTCGGCCCAAGGTAATTCGTCTACTTAATCGCTTAACAAATCGCTCCACCATGCGGTTCTTTACCAACAGTCACTTTGAGGATAGACTGGTCTCCACATACAATTGCTATCCTTTCCGCTCCAAACAAACTATATAATAGCAATAGCTTCTCCGTTCGAATGTTTTCCTCTCTGTTGGGATACGATGCTCCCTATCAAATTGGTTCACTCGCCGCCTTTCAGATTTTCTTAATTTCTCTATTGGTGAGTGTACGTGTTTCTTTTCTTCCTTTGACTGCCGGCGACTCCTCAAATCCCTCTCCCTTCCCAGTGACTCACGTCTGCTATTTATACTCTTAAATTCCCACATTTACATACTACAAGACGTCAATTAATAAACTTAAATTTACATAAACTTAGCATACTATTATTTCCTCACAATGGGAACACCTAATCCCACATACAAACGTCACGGAAATGAGTTGGGATGATGCGGTAGATTATGATTAATAGATTTTGAACCACAAAATGGGAACAAAATACCCAGTAAATACGTCCATTTACGCAAGGAAAATTTGTGATAGAGAACTGAAGGTATGTTTTCCTGTTCCATTATAATATAAAAAGCGAGTATAAAATATAGGCTAAAGAGCGTGGCATTGCTGGCATTAAAAATTTAGGAGGAATGGGCGACCGAAAAGTTGGCCCACACCCCCTCCGCCCAACCATGTCAAGGGAAGGCAACACTTTCCGAAACATACGTTAAAAGATATTTTGAAAACGTAAAATATTTCTTCCTATTTCCACAATTTTAATGGCGACGCTATTCTCTTTCATTATTTATAATTAATAATGCGGTCCAACTTTTAAGAAATTTGCCAGACAGAAAAATATTGGGGAAGGGGAGGGGAGAGGGGTACAGAATACTGGCCCCAGCCGCGCCTCCCATACGCCTATCGGCTTATGGTGTGAGTTTTTGTTGTGTGTTAGCTGTTGAATTCATGTATCAACATATATGAATTCACCCAGAGTAAAAAATAAATAGAAAAAAATAATATAAACAAATTACCGCCCTACAGGCCAGCTAGAAACCTAAAAGGTTTTTGAATTTGGTACACCCAATTGTAGTATAACAAAGTTAAGTAATAAAGGTATTCACATTCAACAAAAGATAAATAATAAAACTCCCATTTCCCGAAAATTCTTGGTAAAAATCACAAAAAAGTGTATTAGAATGAAGGATTTTACAGATACTTGTATGATCGACAAAGGATGTATATAGTAAATGGTGGGAGCCATGCTGCACAGGTCTCAAGCTAACATCGCATTGCTGTCGGTAAAAGTGTATAGTGGTAATACAACCGAACCGGACTCCCCCTTCCCCCCTCCCCCCCAGAAGACACGTCTGATAGCGATCCAAGTTGGAGAGTTCAGATGTTTTCTGAATCCAAAGCTTGGTGAAATATCTTTGAGAAAAATCTAGACAATCATATGATTTATTGGTTTCCTGTCTTCAAGCAGTCGGTCAACATATTAAGGTTACGGGCAAGGTTACCAGCTGTTTGCTAAAGCGATTATTGACATTGGAAAATTTATCCCATGCGTATTAATAAGTGACAGAACATTTGTTTCACATGATTGCCAATAAAGTCTTCAAAGACTTCAAAAATTCTATGTGTAAGGATTTGTCAATTCAACAACATGAGTGTTGGCGTCTAAAATGCTATCAGTGTGACATCCCAGTTTATTCAATACTAGAACCTAAGTGTAGTATTGTTTGTATCAATTATTTTATTTCCTGACTGATCATCATATAAAATTTAATTTTCTCTTGAGCAGGGGGGGGGAGTTTCCGCTGCTTAAGCTAATCGACTTTTCAAAATTGAAAAAGAAAATTGCGCTAGAATTCGCGGCATAAATTTCAAGTGTAAACGCGCCTAAATAATTACTGATCTGTCGCAGATACATGTACGCTTAGCGTACCTATTTTTACTTTTCTGGCTAATGTTGAAAATTGTGTTGGATATAGATTAATAGTATATGGGATAATTCCCTGCCTCGTACCAAGGCGCAAGAAATCGACTTTCTTGCAAGAAATCGACCAAGAACTTCCAGACGTCTCGCAGTTCAAGTGCACTCTTCCCATCAGCCCCTTCGCCATCTCTCCCCACTACAATACTTCATGTAAACTCGTCATATGCGCATCACTGTTTTTTTACAAAGAGACGCATGGGTACGAGGCAGAAATAATTCCTATATTTAGTAATAAACAGCAGCCAAACAAATGTATGCGTCCTAGGTTTATTAGGTAATGTATACGTGTAATGCTTCAAACTCCCATCATGTGCAGAACTGCTACGTTTCAACCTTCTTATTTCAACCGTATTGTCAAAACGTGGAACAGTGTATGTCACGATGTCAATTCAGATTCTTTCTCTAGCCCTATTTCTTTCAAAAACTTTCTTTAACGCAGATATTTAGAACTTCTACGCTCAGTATATGATGTTGAACTATCCTGTACTTGATCCTTGGTGCGCGACTGTCCTTGTCATAGAGAACAGCGAATATAAATATGTGTCACTATTGACACATATTGTGTGTCACTAGTCTGTGTGCGTTTTGTTTGCGAGCGTGCGTACGTGTACTATGTGTATATAACTGTACATATAATGAAATAATTGGACGCCGGCAGGTGCCTTGCATAGAATAGAATAGAATAAAATAGAATAGAATAGAAACTTTATTTCACGAGGGAAAACGTATTAACCGTAAAAGTTATCTAACATACGGCCCTCGCACTATTTTGATATTTACAGGCATAAAAAAGTATTAAGGATTACGACTATTTACATTTGAGAAAAAAATAATTAGTAATGAATACAATTACAATTTAGTAAATATTTACAATTTATACAAAATAGATCTTCGATATGGTTAGTAAGGGTAAGCTTGTTAAGAAAGATTTTACGAATTTTTTGTAATCGGAACTTTTCAAAGAGTCCCGTTCGTACCTCGCCTTTTTGGATCTAACTTTAAAACGTCTGCGTTTTACTATGTAAATATTCGCTTTTTTTTCATGTTTGTATATACATTGATCCAAATATAAATTTATTAAAGAAAAAGAATTATAAGTTATGATTAACTACCTGAGAGAATAAATCACATTAAAAATAAAACTGAAGAGTCTTTCTATTGGTCAAGTGCCGAGGGTCAACTGTCGATGGCGAGTAAAATTACAAGGGCAAAATAATCACAAAAATGATAAAATTAAATACTTAAAGTCAGGTAACTGCTTCGGATGAAGAAATAACGAAAATTGCGTAATCTTCTTGGCATGCAATATTGTTATATAAGAGCACTTTTAAACCAACGAAGCAAATCGTTCTATACGCACCACGTAGTATGATTTTATTTGCCTTGTATTTATTAATAACATGCATGCACAAACTACGCACATTGTTCAAATTTCGGGGTAAAATACATTCTGTGACGTCCATTTAAGCCCGTCTTTCTTTCCCAAGTTGGGTTTCTTTCTTTGAGTTAATCCCTTCACGAAAAAATGGGTGTGGTTCGGACGTCTTCGGGGCTTAACACGGAAGTGCTTAACTCGAAGGGCTTAACTCGATTACCTACTTCTACGAAAACCAGCTTTTCTTTCAGCGGCATTGGGGAGCGGAGACGTGTTAGCAGAATCATACTAGTATACTATTGCAAATGCTGTAATTTGATTGGCTACTCTACTAGCTATCTATTCCTCGAGGAAAACAGTCATTTTCCTGGCGCATTTTTTTTGGCGCATATTCAATAGCCGAAATATTGTGGAATATCTCATGTTTGATCTCTGAGTCAACTAAAACTGTTAATTATACAACGCGATGCTGTTAATCGCAGAATCTGAGATTAACACGTTTGCAACTTGCCCTTTAATCGCTGGCTGTAAGCAAAGTCTGGTGAAGTATTTAATGTATTGTTGGCCTGATCTCAGTTACTACTGCTTATTCTGCATTTTAAACCTTTGGTTTAGTGTACCGATGTTAGTTATTACGACATTTATTTATTTAAATGTATGTCAAAGAATACCGCACTACTGCTACTGAGAACAAACGAAAATGCAGAATTGGCAGGAACTTTAGCTCAAAGGGATACGGTGCTAAATCAACTAGAAGAAGAACATTCGAAAACATGAAGAATTGAAAACATGAAAAAAACATTGAAATTCATGAAAACATGAAGGAAGAACATTTTGAAGATTTAGACTCTCAAAAAGCCCGGAAATGAAATTAAAATCTGGAGTTTCTAGCTTGCGTTCCCTTGTAACTTCCACGTTTGCCTTTCCGAATGCTGTTATGATGTACCTGAAAATCTGCTTCAATTATACCTAGAAATTTATAAATCTGAAATTATTTGTGCTTGGAGAGAATCTGCACACAAAAAACAAACTAAATGTTTCACAAGAACTGGAGAAAAATTGGTTCTTCTTATTATATATTTCATTGAAGACTGTTTGAGAATTGAGATATGGCACCACGCGTCATATGCAGTGCTGCCAGTGCATGCATAGCCTATAGATGTGTATGGTTATCCACTGAATTATATAGTAATTATAAAGTAATTATATATAGTAATTATACTTATATGCTAATTATATTGTCATTTCAATATTTTTGAAACAAAACAAATTCATACACACAGTTTGTATTTAACAATTCAATTTCAAATCCTGGCATAATAAATTGCTTAATTATTTGCAGTACTCTGGATTATTCATGGCTAAATATTGACGTGTTACACCCGCTACACCCCTGCCCGATCGCTACGTCCCTGATTTCATTATCTTTTTGCGAACTTGTTTCCTTTAATATACCAGTTTCACTGTTTGGAAAAGATTAATCCTGTAACAGGCAGAATCTTGTTAGGACATATGCATGTTGGCCACAGCTCAATATATTATATCATTCAACACGTTTAGCATGATTTGCATGACCCTGGGTCAAGCCAATCGATCCGTACGTCAAAAACAAAACCAAATCGATTCAAGCAGTTACGTACATAATAAATACAGTAAAAGCTTCTACTGTACGTACTAACGTACGACGTACGTACGTACGTACATACGAAATAATATTTCGTTCGCACATACAGTGGGAACGAAACAAAATTTGCAATTGTCCATTCTGCAGACTGCAAACACACTGGACTTATAATTCAAGCTAAATAGCATCAATAGATGCAACTGGCGAATAAAAAAATTGTTCTAATTATATAAATGGTATAAAGAAGAAAATATTGATTTCATTACCAAGCGGAACAATTATAGAATACCCGGTTTGAAAACTTGCGCGAAATAATCACAGTCAATGCATCAACAAGACACATCTGAAATAAATGTGATAGCCTATTAGAAACATTTAAGATTGACGTTTACGGCATGCAGACAGCAAACGGCAAATTGCTTTGAGGTCAACAGTTTATAGCTGTACAACTTGGGGTGGCTAGTTAAAATTGAAGTTAAATGGTTACATTTAAAGTTGAAGTATGAGTTACCTACTTAACTTTCGAACAGTTGTAGACCTTCAAATGCCATTCGAGGTCTGCCGTTTGCGGTTAGCTGTGCGCTGTAATTAAACGTCAATCTTTAGGTCTCTATTAACTCAATTTATAATCTCGAATTTAATTGCTTGGGCCATCGATCATGGATTAGTGCAGTTTGTGATGACGGTTTCGTCGCTAGCGTAGATCGAACTTGTTCCCCCTTCTCGAATTGGGGACGTGTCTATATTGATACAACCATTGCGTTTTTGGAACATTCAATTTCTTGTTTGGCTGATTTCCAGATTCTCAAGCAGTCCCTCAACACAAGGTTTAATGTGATTTTGTTACTGATTACGTTCGATATCAATTTTCGCTTGCAAGGTCATTCTTGGTTACCTGGAGCGATAATTATCTTGATGTTCAAAGAAAATATCTTTCGTCATCATTAATAAGGTTTCCAAACTTTTCAATGGTTTCTAAAATGCAACTCTTCTGATATTCCAATAGTTGTATTCTAAAACAACCATTGTTTTTGGTTATAGACATTTTATATGCTGACTCGCTGATTTTCAGTTCAACTTAAAAAATCACTCAACATAAGGCTAGTACTAATAGGGGGTTGCGAAAGCGATTATGGTTTGCTGCCGCAGGAGCGGCGTCACGTGATGAAATTTTTCTCGAACGTACCAGTGACAGTCTTGCAAAGAAAATTCTTAATCAACTGGGAGATATTAGTGTCAGACGTATTTGACCATACAGTTCAGCAATGAGCATTGCAAAATCTGATGAAAACTAGGGTGGAAATTAATCATCATAAGGGATTTCTGGTCCTTTTGTAAGACGGTTTAAATTTTGGGACAAATATGGAACAAATTCGAAATACGATATTGAAGTTCACTAATTAATTGTGAAACAATTCTGATTGATCGTTATAAAAACATAAAATAAAAAAAAACACAATAATATCATTGTTATGCATAATAAAAAAATATCATTGTTATGCAGGCTGTTTGGACAGTGGAATATGAACCAATAACCTCCTTATCAACATTTATTGCCCAGCTTTAGTCTTGAACAACGTGTATCGTGTATCGTGGGCAGAAAAATCGTTGTTCGCAGATAAAAATGGAAAATTAGTATCGATAGTGTACTGCAAATATATAGTCACGTACTTGCATTACTGCCCTGCATAACCCAAAAGGAATTTTGCTCACTCTATATACAGTGCCAATGAGATGGATTTGGTAACTTTCACCGGACTTCAAAACATATAGTTGATAGTTCCATCTCTCTCAATGTTAGAAATTAAAAAAAATTAGACGGCCAATGTGCAATTTGGGACCATGCCTCGGTTTGTGGCTCCTTTACGCGAATTTTTAGATTCAAGGGCTTATGCAGCTAACGTTTGTTTGGTGTTATGCAGTGTGATGAGTTATTGCAAGTTATTACGCAATCTTAGATACGTTTGCAATACATTGACTGAAAGTGAAATTTGACTGTTGAGTTTGCCAGCGAAGGCACTCAGGTTAATTTAATATTCCGTGTGAGGATCAAGTTAATGTCATTGCAAAATATGCAATCTGATTATGAAACTGTCCAATTTGTATCACTTGGTGTCAGAATATTAACCTTGAATCTTGAACGTTAGCTACATTGTTTGCATCATTTGCTTCCTTTTGAAACAGTCCGGCGTACGCGTAGGAGCATTGAAGTTACAGTTTCTATAATCTTGTTTTCGCAGAACTGAAATATGGTGGGAGTACAACGGCAGGATACAAACAATGTTGCGATGACGCTCTGTCTAATCTCAAATTTACATAAATTGCGTTATTGCATTAATATAAAAAAATGTAATATTATCTTTTTCCAAGATCCCGGCCTGTCGGCAACAGCGGTGGGCCTTTCCAAGAAAAGGCGAGAAAAAGCGGCTTGTAGTAATCTAGTAAACAATAGATATATAATATACTAACGTTAGGCCCTAACAGCGGTAATCTAGTATACCATTTCAGGATCTATATTTCACAACGTTTTGTTACGCAAAACTTTATCTTGAACCGCGTTTTCTTTATTAATAATGTTTCCATACTTTGCAAATTTCATAGAAATTAACTGAAAAATTTCCAACATTTTGTACACTTCCAAGTATGGAAATTTTTCAAACAAAGCGTATACATCAAATTTCCTAGAGAACCTAGCAAAATAATATGGAAATGATTCAAATTTACCAGCAATATATACTTGTGTCTTAAACTGCGAAACATGGCACGCGACCAACGAGAATATTGAGTTTAGTTAATTATAGAAGCAAATTATCACCAACATGCTGTTGACACCTACAGGTGAAAACCTGCGTCAAAGCAGTCACGCAACAAAGTATCGAATTTCCTTATCTTAACAACCCAATTCTCGGCAAATTTTCACATTGTTGTCTGGGTGTCTCAAGAGCAGTCATGAGATCCCTGACAGTCGCAACGCTTTTCGCTTGCGCGTTGTTTTGCGCAAATGCGCAATCAGTCGCTGCTGAGCAGAGCATTGGTGATAAAATCCCACTTCCTAAAGAAGGGGCACACAAACCAGACACAGATGAGCCAGTTACAGAAGACTATAAAGATGGGAATGATGAGGTAAATTATTGTAATGTTTGAACATGAGCCGCATAAATCTTATTACACTATTACCTAAGGGATTTAAACTGATAATGGTTTATTCTGAGTTCAAGATGGCCGTGCGAAACGGGCGTACAAATGCACAAAGGCTATTAATAGAACTATGAAATGTTAAGATTTGGAGCTAAAAGCTATACCTTACTATATTAGCTAGATTTTGTAAGTTTGGCTTTAAAGTTTTGTTTTGAAACAGTATACTGGCTGATCAGTGGCAAGTTTAAATCAGTGCTAAATTGGAAAATTCACAATTCATTTTTGCAGGTTATTAAAAACTCACTTTGTAACCGCGTGGCCTGTAGGAAAAAATATAGCTATCCTATCCACCGATAACAAATTAAAGGCAGTTGTCATCACATTACAAAATACTTTGTGACTGAAAGTTTTACAGAGATGTTTAAAAATAACGAAGTTTATATCAGATTTAGGAAAGAAGACAGACTTAAGTCTATAGCCTCCTATGATTGTTTTTGCTTATTTCAGAGCCAAAGGGCAATAAATTGTTTTCAGTAATACACTTAGTACGTTTTACAATAATCCTGAGCGGTCTCCGTTCAATAATTATATACGGTAGTATTGCTTTGTTAGTCCGGTAATGCCTATAAAATGCAATACGAGTGACAGCCAGTTTTCGAATCGGCCTATAATTACGTCATTGCATGCTTTCAATGCAATACAATATAATAGGAAATCTATTAACAGGACTTTTTGAACCAAGGAAATATTTATAAATAAAGTTATAAACAGCAGAAATGTAATTAGTAAATATTATGCTATAGATTATAAACTCGAACGATCGGTGGCACTGTACAGGTTGCGACGATAAAACTTTAAATAATTTTTTTAAATAAAAAACTATGAATATCCTGGTGGATCGCTTCGAGACATCTGAGCATAAATTAGATTACCTAATTCGCAGATACATTGATATAATGGTAAAATTAAACGAGACTTACCGTACCTGCAAAGAACTCGTCAAACGAGAATGGGAGTTGATGAGAGGTGATGAGTGTTGACAGGCACGATTACGAATTGTTACGAAATTCAGAGGACATTTCAAGCTCAAGATTATAAACAAAACAGAGGTTTCAACTACGTCCCAACTAAAGTGTTCCAACTACGTTTTGATTTAAAATAAAATTTGTGGTATAGTGTTGGGAAGCACACAGAACTGGTAGCCATAGTCTAAATATACTGTATATGACATGGTTTGGAAACCCTTTGTTTTAGGTGATTCTGTGCCTTGTGCAGGGTCACGGTTGAAAATCCTTTGTCTTTCTATTGTTTTGACAATGGTCAGTTCAGACAACTTGGCGTAAGGAATGGGTACCAACTGTTTGTTTTGCCTACCAGAGCTATATCATACGGCATATTTTGCCAATAACGAAGTATTACTACCATTTTTCGATGTGTTACATCGTTTGGTCAATTCTCATTGATTAAAACCAATATGTGCAGGGTCGAACTGACTGTTCATCCTCCATGTTTGTTTATAGCGTAATTTCTTTGAAGTTTGCCGGGTTTCCTAACCAGGTCTTATAACAACCATGGTCTAACAAGATATGATGATCTGGAAGCCTTCAAAATAGAAGACCTTTGTTTGATATCGAACTGTACGCAAATCCTTTGCCTCAACTTACGTGCACAAATCCTTTGTCTCAACTTCGTTAAATATTATTCATCGAGTTATTCAAGGGGAAAATGATTTGAGTTGACAAAATATTTACCTATGAGTAATCACCGACAATGGAACTCGCCAACTGTCGGCGTCATCGTACCGTGGCCGTGTACAAATTAACACAAACTCAGACTGTCAGACAGAAACATAATACAATGACTTCTGTTCAATTTCCAGACCATCATATCTTGACAGACTATGAGGTAACTGACCACGCTCACGTGATTGCCAAATCATATTAGCCCACGCACAGTCTCATGACATCGATCGATGTCACAAGACTGCATGCGCGCGCAGGCGCAACAGGAATTAAGTTTGATTGCGATTCTACCATGGACATCTGTCAGGAACGAAAGAGTCACACGAGAAGCGCGTGCGTGCTTCGCTGATTAGTCTTTAACGCGAACGGTAACAGGAACAAATTTAAGCAAAAACTGTGTTTATTCGGTACTAGTTACAACATGAGCGGCTGTCTTCCATCGAACCGAATGCAAGAGAGTTGTTTATCCGATCAGCATGGTCTCCTCATTTTGATGATGAATATGTCATACATAAATCTATCATGTATATCATCATACAGGTGCACTTTTGTGTATAATGTATGTGAATATACAGACACATACATTGATAACCTGACCCTCAGTCTACCAATAGACTACAGTGTATATAGTAAATGTCGATTCTTCAGATTTACTATATTTGTAACTTTTGAACAAAACTTCTCACTTACAATATGTTTATCATAAAAGTGATAAAACTTTGCTGCATTATTTGCTGTATAAGTTGAGACGTGCTAATTTAACATAGCAAGATTATAGGCTGCCCGGGTGCATGCAGTGACAGGTAATTAATCTGTATTAATTAATACCCAATTACTTTTTTATATTGATTTAGCCCATCTGGCAATGGTTGGTGTTTTTGGTAACCGCTTTTTGTAGCTTTACTGATGTCTCAATAAATATGTAATTGAGTAAATGACGTCACATGGTTACAAACAAAATGAAATATCTCAAGAACTAAGTACGGGAATAAAAATCTTCAAAAGAAGTTATTATACAGTTTTAGGAGCATTTTTGTTTAAGAAACTATAAAATTTTTAATGACAGTGGCACTTTGAAACATGAGCAGCAGTGTTTTATCAGATATAAAGATACGAGGCGAAGCCCCGTATCTTTAGGTCTGATGAATCACGCACTGCATGCGAATGTTTTAAATTCCTTCAAAAACGAACGATCTAGTATTAAAGTTCATTGGCGAAGTAATTTCCAAAATAACGTTGTGTATAAAGTGGAGAAAATCAAAGTTAAAGTTTAATATGTATAAATCAAGGGAAATCTCTATCACATATAAAGATACGACACGCTTATTATCTTTTCCTCATGAATTATTAATGATTTTAGAAAACATCGTAAAAGTTTCAGTTGAATATTTAAGAAAAACAATTACCATTGTATAAAGAAGGTAGTTTAAGTACTATTTGTCTAAACCGAGAAAATCAAAGCTAAAGTTTATGTAAATTAATTTAACATGATTTTTTATCACATATAAAGATACGACACGCTTATGATTTTTCTTTATTAATGAGTTTTTTAATAACTAATAGTTAGTGGAATAGCTAGTTAACCAATCACATTTATATGTGTTTAATTATAGCTAAGGGAATGGGTATTTAAAAAGTAGTCACTATAAGACTGTTATACAACTGATCCACGCCGTGCAAAAATAATGATAATTTTATTTGTGGAGAATATCACTAAATATATAAACTTTGCAGCAAAGATTTTGGTGTGCCTGGATCCGTTCCATATCAAGTATAAAGAGATGTAATATCCAGGCTTAGAATAAAACTCTAAGATTATTAAAACTCTTAGATTAAAACTCTAAGTGTATTTATATATCCGATTATGAAGCACGGCTACGAATGCACTTTAATTGGATTATAACACGATTGGCTTCGTTTTCTTTGATATACCGCGGCGATGAATTGCCACTTCAGAGGGAAATATGTAGGGATTATATATATAATATAATCCCCAGGTCCATAACGAATTTATAATTGTCTAAGAAGACAACAACAAGCTCAAGCCTGCCCCTAATCTCCTTCTCGTCTAGATAAACTCGGCACTGGTCTGTAGATGAGAAAGGGACTACCAGTCATACTCGTACCCGAGCTCCGTCAACAATCTACCACGCAATGCCTGAGAATTAACTGGATCAACAGTCAAAGTTCTCGCTGCAGTGCACGACTCAGCAAACTTGTGGGACGATAAATGATAAAATGCGCATCCTCGTCCACATTAATGCGTAACTTGGGTCTCATGGTTGGGGGGGGGGGGGGGAGGGGGACTCATTTTGCCCGATAAAGGGCGTGGTTAAAAAATGCCACGCCCACACTAAGTATAGATTTTATATATTACTCATAATTCAAAGTACTATTTGCAATGAGATGAAAGAGAAATTTTGTCCAGATAAATAATACTATATACACATTACAAATTTACAACTAGAAAATACATGCATGCAGAAACCCTCGCCTTGCTGACAAAATCATTGTATTTTCCGAACACGAAGTATCTAAAGTAGTTGTCATGGTAACACGAGAATTTTATAAGAATATTCTTACAAATAAAAAATCGCCTAAAAATATCACTTTTAATTACAAAATTATCAATTTCCCAACATAAATATGTTAGGTATGTTATTATACGTAATATAAGCTTCAATTTAAGGTAAAATTCAACCATAAACACTTCGCAAAACGTTTTAAAGTGTTCTTTATAAAACTTAACTGTCTTTAATTAAATGGCTTTATCGATAAACTTTGAGTTTGCGATAAAATGATTTCAAATTCTCGCATGCAAATAACTTTGCTTTCTTTTTTTATTTATTTAAAAAATTCACTATAATAAAAAAGGGAATCAATATTAAAGATACACTGAAATTATATGCTGTCTTGTTTAGTTCTTTCATATATACGCAAAGGCCGTCGTGTTTTAAAGCAATTAAAAAATCAATATTTAAAACAAACTTACCTTCGTTAACGTTGGCTCCCTTCTTTTAGCCGATTCTTTCGCCATTTCTTTCTGAAAAGGCTTTTGAAATTACAAAATCTTGCAAAAATGCGAGCAAAAATGAAATATATTTGCAAGAAATTTATCAATCATCAAATCAAGAAATGTTTGCTATTTCGCTGTCGTCATGCAGGGCTACTACTAAAAAGCGATACAGCGATACAACGATACAGCGATACAGGAACCGGAACCTGGAACCGGAACCCGGAACCGTGCATAATTTATTCAAATTAGAGCATTTTGCACCACAGGAGATATACATAATAATATTTTACAGGGGGGAGGGAATTCAATGATAATATAAAATATTACATACAAGGCAAAACAAACAATGAACATCGTTGTAGCACTATATATTACGAAGTAAAACATGTTTCATAATTGCGCGGCGATTCTTTTTGTCTGTTTTGATATGACTGCATATGACGCACTTAGTTTATTTACCCGCCGCACTTGATTATGAAATCCCAGCAGACAGAGAAGGAAACCACGGCACGCAAAGTAGATTGCGCTGAATTCACTAGCAATTGTGCCTTAAAGTAATTCGAGTGTAGTGTAGTGTAGTGTAGTGTATGGCGCAATCCAACATTGTCCTGAATGTGTATATACGCTGCTGCCGGAATACGCGAATATTGCGAATATGCTGCTTACTAAAAATATCCGCTTGACTGACATCGATCACAAATATGAAAGAAGTTATGAAGGTAACTTCAATGTCAAAAATACATTTAATGATGAAAAATTGAAATGTCTGATTGAAATTCAGCGTCGAAATTCACTTAGTCGTGTCCCGGCTTACCGGCTTACCCTATATAATATATGGTACTATGAAGTACCGTTTCCGACATTATAAAAGCAAAATCTGAAATTGAAGCTGTAACTTGAAGCGACTTGACATGGCCATGCCAATGTATTTTTTACAATGAAGTTACCTTCTGACAATCACATATAAACTTCATTTATGTTTGTGATTGATGTCCAAGCGGATATTTTTAGCATGCAGCATATTTATCAGTGTTATTTATTTATATTTGCAATATTCGCAGTGTATATATAGCATATTCAATGTTGAATTGCATCATACTACACTATGCTACACTCTAATTACTTAATTTAGCGCACAATTGCTGCTGAATCCAGCGCAATCTGCTTTGCATGGGTTATTAAGCCGTGTAGCAAAGCTCAGAACACGTCACAAGTAATATACAAAATTATTCTGGTTATAAATAATATATGGTAATTATACAAACTATGTCTTACGTCATCGATCTATAACGACTCTGAACGCCATACGCCAAAATGATGTACGTTTTTGGCTTTTTATCCATCTGCCATAGCGCCAGTTTGCCAGAGCGCCGGCAGTTTTGCCAGAGCGCCAGTTTGCCAGTTTTGCCAGAGCGCCAGTTTTGCCAGAGCGCCAGTTTTGCCAGAGCGCCAGTTTTGCCAGAGTGGCAGTTTCGCCAGAGTGCCAGTTTCGCCAGAGCGCCAGTTTGCCAGAGTGCCAGTTTTGCCAGAGTGCCAGTTTCGCCAGAGTGCCAGTTTCGCCAGAGTGCCAGTTTCGCCAGAGCACCAGTTTGCCAGAGCGCCAGTTTTGCCAGAGCGCCGGCAGTTTTGCCAGAGCGCCAGTTTGCCAGTTTTGCCAGAGCGCCAGTTTTGCCAGAGCGCCAGTTTTGCCAGAGCGCCAGTTTGCCAGTTTTGCCAGAGCGGCAGTTTTGCCAGAGTGCCAGTTTCGACAGAGCGCCAGTTTGCCAGAGTGCTAGTTTTGCCAGAGTGTCAGTTTTGCCAGAGCGCCAGTTTTGCCAGAGCGCAAGTTTTGCCAGAGCGCCAGTTTCGCCAGAGCGCCAGTTTACTAAAGTGCTAGTCAGTTTTGCCAGAGCGCCAGTTTGCCAGTTTTGCCAGAGCGCCAGTTTTGCCAGAGCCCTAGTTTTGCCAGAGCGCCAGTTTCGCCAGAGTGCCAGTTTCGCCAGAGTGCCAGTTTCGCCAGAGCGCCAGTTTGCCAGAGTGCCAGTTTTGCCAGAGTGCCAGTTTCGCCAGAGTGCCAGTTTCGCCAGTTTGCCAGAGCGCCAGTTTTGCCAGAGCGCCAGTTTTGCCAGAGCGCAAGTTTTGCCAGAGCGCCAGTTTCGCCAGAGCGCCAGTTTACTAAAGTGCTAGTCAGTTTTGCCAGAGCGCCAGTTTGCCAGTTTTGCCAGAGCGCCAGTTTGCCAGTTTTGCCAGAGCGCCAGTTTTGCCAGAGCGCCAGTTTTGCCAGAGCGCCAGTTTTGCCAGAGCGCCAGTTTTGCCAGTGGCAAGTAAAGGAATTCGCTGCTTTTCTTTCAAACCATATCGTATACTGAACTTAACTAAACGTACTGCTTTGTTTCAGAGAATTAAAACAGAAATTACTTTGACGCAAAAGAAAATGCTGAAATATATTGCGATTTACGATTAAGTTAAAATTGCAATTCTACTACTAGACTATACATGCTCTTGCGTTCAATCTGGTTTGTTATGCGACCTTTGTCAGTCTGTCTTGCATATGAAAGATTTATTACTGTATATATGATCACACCATCTTACATAACATGTTATTGTCTTTGTCTATTGCTCATATTTGTTGAGGAAATATTGTTATAATACTTTGATATTTCTAAACCAGAGAGTCGAAATTCAAAATACCTGCCCTGAAGCAGAACTGCGATAACAACGAGCCGGTAATGTGGCACTTGAAGTGTCACGCATTTAATCAAACATCAGTAAGACAGTAACATAACAATAATGAAATATTTCGAATAGTTCAACTTCACGAAAATATATTCATTTAATTTTCAGTCAGTTTGTGTAAAGCTATTAAGCATGTTAAATTAATATTTTAATGTGCTATATAGTATTATGCGCGTAACGACTATAACCGCGAATGTTTCGCGTTTGTATTCACTCTTAATTAAATCCTTCATGCATGTGGATGGACGGACCCGCACTTTAATTTACCGTGTCACTCAATAAGGTTATTAATGAAAGTTGACATTTATATACTTCCACATACATCTTGCCTTTGACCTTTGTAGTGTTTTAAAACATAAATCATATCACGGTCATATGGATTTATACATCCACTGGTAAAACTATATGCAACGTTCAATATAATGTGACATGTAAAGATTTGTACGACCGCGTTTGTGTATCATTTCAGTGGGTTATTAAAAACAAGAGTTGTTGCTGAAATTGGTAGCATACTGTTAAACTTAGCCAGCGCGCAGTCTCATGATATCGACATCGTTTTGAAGTCATAAGACTGCGCGCATGCACTATGCAGGCTAGCATAAACTGCGTAAATTAATTTTTGGCGGGAAATATGCGCGCCAGTTGTTGACATACCATGCTCATGAATATTCTGCCTTTCTTAATATTAGTCGTTTCGCAAGGAAGCCATGCTATAAAAATGCAACACTTCTAATTTGAAATATATTTACATACATAACATAACTTATATACAAAATAATTAACTCTACATATCTAATATTATCCTGTCTTTTGATCACCAAGTGTTCTAATTGTCATTTAGCTACTGATTTAGTGTCGCATTAAAGCAACAGTAACTATGATTAAGGCAACGTAACAGTAATTTTGAAACTATATCCGCCAATTAAACTAAATATATATATATATATATATATATATATATATATATATATATATATATATATTTATGGCACTCATCAATTAAACTAATATATATAGGCTATATAAATAAATCACACACTAAACTTTTAATATTTCAACATTTATTCTACCATTCCAACGTTTCGGGGCATGCCCCTTCATCAAGGATGAATATCAAAGTCAACGCCCGACAATGGCCTAATGTCCATCCTTGATGAAGTGGGAATTGATACGTTGGAATAGTAGAATAAATGTTGAAATATTAAAAGTTTATTTTGTGAGTTATTTATATTGAAACATATATATATATATGTATATATATATATATATATGTATATATATATATATATATATATATGTATATATATATATATATATATATATATATATATATATATATATATATATATATATATATATATATATATATATAATTACTATTCTTACTTAAAATGTTTTTTTGTCTCTACTCCGAGTTTCACGCATCACTGCGATCATCAGGAGACATTGTTCTCAAATACCGTTTGATTTTCGTTGTTTGATGGCGTGACTGCGCGCGCGCGCGAGGATTGTTGATGTTGCTTACACGCGCGCAGACTACATTTCCCGCTAAAAATTGTTTCTGGTGCACGCACTTCGAGAAGATTTCCGATCTTTTGTTGAGTAGATTCTGGTCGCGAGATTTTAAAATCAGCAGCTTCTCTTGCAAGCATAGGTTGCATCTTGGTCCTCCGCTTGCGTATGGGACAGCCTTCTTCAGAATGGACCAAGTGGTGTTGTGAGGTCTTCCGCTTCTCTTCAATTTCCAAATATGCTTCGATAGCTCCGTTTCGTTCGCATATCTCTGAAGCTGGAATGATTTTTTATGGTTTCTGTACCTTTCTTATCGAACCACCCACCAGCCATAATTAAACAACTACCTAAATCAATAAATCACCGTATATCAAATTTATCCTCTGATCAGCAAACCTTCAATTCATCAGCATCAACCTACGAGAATGCATTACGTCGTAGTAATTATGATTTTAATTTACAAAACAATGCCACGCCTTCAAGTAATATTGACGGCCCCAACACTGAGAGTTGTACGTCCAGCCAACCCAAACGCAAAAGACACAGAAACATACTATGGTTTAACCCACCTTACAGCAAAAACGTAGTAACAAACATTGGTAAAACCTTTCTTCAACTTATCGACAAACATTTCCCTAAATCAAGTCGTCTACATAAGATCTTTAACGGCAATTCAATCAAAATTAGTTACAGCTGCATGAAGAATGTCAAGACAACCATTTCTAACCACAACACGAGAATTAGATCGACCGAACCCACGGCAACAGAAGAAATTAACTGTAACTGCCGCAAGAAAGATGAATGCCCCCTCCAGAAGAAATGTCTGACCCAGGCTATCGTGTACCAAGCCGAAGTAAAGAGTCACGACAACGGTGAAACGAAGCGGTATATTGGGGTAACAGCTGGGGAATTCAAAGACAGGTACAGAAACCATAAAAAATCATTCCAGCTTCAGAGATATGCGAACGAAACGGAGCTATCGAAGCATATTTGGAAATTGAAGAGAAGCGGAAGACCTCACAACACCACTTGGTCCATTCTGAAGAAGGCTGTCCCATACGCAAGCGGAGGACCAAGATGCAACCTATGCTTGCAAGAGAAGCTGCTGATTTTAAAATCTCGCGACCAGAATCTACTCAACAAAAGATCGGAAATCTTCTCGAAGTGCGTGCACCAGAAACAATTTTTAGCGGGAAATGTAGTCTGCGCGCGTGTAAGCAACATCAACAATCCTCGCGCGCGCGCGCAGTCACGCCATCAAACAACGAAAATCAAACGGTATTTGAGAACAATGTCTCCTGATGATCGCAGTGATGCGTGAAACTCGGAGTAGAGACAAAAAACATTTTAAGTAAGAATAGTAATTACATTCGCTCTACAAAATTTTATGTATTGAGCACTCTCTTCACTATACGTTACAAAACCTGTGATATGTATATGTATATATATATATATATATATATATATATATATATATATATATATATATATATATATATATATATATATATATATATATATATATATATATATATATATATATATATATATCGTTTCTATGTCTGTACAATAATATATCAATTGTCATCTGACTGCTCTGAGTCATCGTCTTCTGTTGCGTTTAAAATTGCACAAGCAAATTCATTGTTTGCCTTTATCCTATCTCGGAGTTTATTTGAGATGTCCATATTAATTTTAAAAAAAGATTTTCTATAATCGTCCTTTGAAACACCATGTTTGGTGATCGAAGTTTCCTCGACTTTGGAAGGTACTTCTTTCAGGAACGCTACCGTTGCCCCACTCTTTACAACATGCCCTAAACAATCCGCTTCTAGCAATTCCATGCTCTCACGAACCTCGGCGGGTGTTGGTCTTGTCGAAGAGCTGAATTTTTCACGGAGTAAATTTATGACCACAAGTGGCCCATCATAATCGAGAACTCTTTTCGCAATTTTCTTCCCTGTGCCTTCCATGTTGCCGTTAAAATGCTGAAAGATATAAGAAGTAGATATTAAAGTGTGTTAGAAAACTAACTATATAGTCAATCATTCTCTATACTATACAGAATATGAACGTTCTGTATAGTTTTTCCTTACCAAAACATTATGATATATTTAACCAAATCGAAATGTTCTATATTTTTAATTTTAAAGATTTAAAATGACGAGCTATTTTCTAAGGTTGAACATTGTTTCGTGATAAAACAAGCCAATGTACATTTTAATTTTATGAATGCATGCAGTTTGGATTCCGTTTACACGCGGTACCGGACGAATTAGAATTTTAGTCTTGTCGGAGTTTTGTGTTTTTTTATTAGAGAACAATTTGAAACATGCTACAAACCTTTTCTATAATTTCCTTCTGCTTTTGGAAGTACTCGTTCAACTTGATAGCATACTTCACATATCGTTTGGGAATCCTCTTAGATATTGGGCCGTACGCCTTGAAAATGGCTCTCCTTGTGTATTGATAAAGAACGTATAAAATTACTGACCAGCGAATAACATGGCGTCGTTCTTTGGTCGCTCGTGTCATCAAATTTCCCGTCTGCCAACTTGAATTAAGCCTCGAACAAATTTTCTCGTCAAATTCATCAAATTCTGCCAGAGCTTCCTCGTCCAAGCAGTAGATGACTTCAACGTCTTCTCCGTTGTGGTCTCGGTAGATGGTGTTGAAAAGATCGTTAAGGTCTTGGAGATTTGATCTAGTCAGCACTTCCTCGAAAATGGAACTTTCCTTGCGGGTCAAAGCTTTTGGTCGGACAATTGCCATGTTGAATCGAGCGTCAAAACCATCTTGGCCAGCTGACATTTGCGGATACAAATCTGTTAGGAAATTCTTTACCTGCGACAGTACGTTCAAAATCAAAATAATATAAATTAATACATCTGATGATCTGTACACCATTTTGACTTTTGTGCATATTCAAGGGTCTAGCTATAGCCGTATAGGCTATATATGGACAAAACACGGCTACATGCATCTCTCAGTACAGAGCTAGTGTGCCCGGGCAAACGTTTCCAACCAATTACTGAAGTATTCGGGACCAATGTTACTCCAATCGATACCATTCTCGCTTGCTTCTGTAGCCAATGACTTGATGACATCTTCAATGTCATCAGCCTTTCTCTTGCGTTGTGAACGACCAAGCATTTTGCCTACCAGAGTACTGTCAAGGATCGCGGCTCACTCACGAATGACGAATAAACTGCAAGGTTGTTTAATATGTGTAATCTTACTCATTGACGCATAGGTATATATGACGATTGGTTAAAACTTGGCGCCATTTTTTTTCAGAAGTAATCATTGGACAGAATTATTTTAGTATCGGAAGGCCTCAGCCAATCACGAGTAATCGCACACATATTTCCTTATGAATAATTTGAGCGCACGTGCATGACAATTTTGATTCTGGGTGACAGGCAAATTATCAGGTTGGTCTCAATCCGAACATGTTTTATCAATTTATCTTATCTCGCTAATTAGTGTTGCAGGAAGTTTGCAAATGAGATAGCACCGGAAGACATTTTTTATGTATAGATATGAATCTTAAGTGCGTTTGGTTATTGTAGTACAATATGTTTGTTCTTAATAATAATTATAAAATTATAATTAATTCTAGCCCACTCGCCAACTCGAAGTGGTGAACTAAAATATGGGAAAGTTTATTTTTAATTTTCTGCTCCTTGTATTTTTCGTCGCTGCAAGACCAGCGACATGCGTACTTGTACGGGAACAACATCACCACTATATAACATTAGTTATACAGCAATTTAATGGTTTGCCTGCTCCCCTCTTTGTATATCCACTTATACCAATGACACGCTCAGCTGAATCCAATTCTGTTCTTGATATTTACGACTATGTACGTCCAGTGTTAATGTTCTGGGACCCCATGAATCAGCTTAGTTGCTTAAATGGTAGAATGAAGTGTCCTAGACCAGCATGTCAAATTGGCTCGGATATTCGGTGGCTACGTTCAGCGCACTGGAAAGACTGCCGTAACCAAAGAGAATCGTGCAGGATATTATATGGGATTAATGGACCCATTTACTTAGTCAGCCGTGTTTATCGATGTAGTGGACAGCATGCAGAAATTATAGCCCACGATCCTTCAATTTTGAATCTTATTCCAGAATCACGTAGGCCGTTTATTTTGTCGCATATTACAGGAGTGACATGCCAACTTCAGGATTATGTTGTTTGCTCAATAATAAACGGTTTGAAAATGGAACATATTGAATCAATGCTTGGTCAACTTTACATGAAGGAATACACTAAAAAGCGTGCTTCATTTGAAGAAGATTTACAATTACAGTTACTATCTGGTAAAGTAACAGAAAACGGTGAGGTAAATAAAATGTTCCCGGCTGATATTCCAAACGAGTATAAGGCCCAAGTATAACAATAATAAGAGATTGTTTCATTTACGATTTCGAGAAAAAGCAACACTTGTATACATGCAAGATGATTGAACATTCAGCTGAGTGGATATCTATAGATCACACTTTTAAGGTTGCGGCGAATATTGGAGCAAATCGAAAATGTGATTCACATTGGGAAAAGCAGTACGATTCTATGTTCTGTGTCATGAATGAAATCGGTTGCGTAATAGCATGGCAATTAACACTTGGTACGGCATTCGATAAAGTCGAAGATCTCCTGAAAGGACTTCACTGTAGATTTCAGAACCAAGACCGGAATATAAAATTGTGTTTTACAGACAATTGTTGCACGTGGAAACGAAAACTCCAATCCGTATTTGGGAAGGAATTAAATGTGAAACTAGACTTATTCCATGCGGTTCAACGAGTTGTGAAGAAAATTTCTAAACGACACCCTTTTAGTTTTAATTGCGCCCAAGCTTTTTCTCTCATAGTACGTCAACCACATGACCATGGTGAAAGTCGCAAGGAGAATACTCCCGACCCTGAAACAATCAACAAACAACTGGATAATTTTGTCCTTACCTGGAAAGATGTTATTTATTTAGATAAACCGGTTTTGACATTGGATGCATTAAAAGAGATTAAGAACTTGCGAGAACATATTAATAAGGGTTGTTTGTCCAATATTCCGCCCGGTTGTGGCACAGAACGGAATGAAAATCTACACAAATGCATTCGTAAAAGTGCAAGTAAAGTGCGCATTGGTGTACACCTGGCAGTAGCTTTGTTTACAACCTTCCTTTACGTTTGGAACGAGAAAAGAAAAAATGCAGATCGTACCGGTAAAAAAACAAAGTTTCTGCCAATTTTTGATATCGACAATGCACCATCGCTTTGGTCCACAAAACCATGTAGCAAAGAAACATTTGGAGTGGGAGTATCATCTGAAAGACGAATTAATTCAAAGGAGGAAAAACTACCACCATCTTATTGTGATTTATTTTCAGAATGCAATTGGGATGCGGAAGGGCAGAACCTGGATGAAATTTTAAATAATTCGGATTTTAAACTTGGAAAAGAAGACGTGAAAAAAATCTTAGATAGGGCATCGAATATTATGTCAGTAGTGGAACTATTAGAAGCGTGTAATGGCAGAAACCGAACATTTAACACCGAACATGCACATTTGATGTCAAATCCAGCACTTTTCGCTTTTGGAACTTGCATTGATAAGACTGTGGAAGAAAAGGAGAGTTTGGAACGATTGCAAAACACACTGGCTTCATACAACATGGAGTTGGTGAACTCATCTTAAGACAGTGACTGTCTTTTCACCTCAATTATATTTGGTCTAAAACAAATTGTGTCATCTGGAAAATACAAAAAGTATAATGAACATCTGAAAAACTTAAATTTATGCTTTGATTTGGATATTAGCTTGATTGTACTTCATTTGCGCAATTTGTTGGTTTCTGAATGGCTAGCAAATGCATCAGAATATGAAGATTTTGTCACTAGTCAGGAAATATCGTTCGAAGAATTAGCAAACTCATACAGAGGACGAGGTGTTTTTGCCGGAGAACTGGGAAATATTATGGCAGTTGGACTGGCAAACGTTCTAAGAATAAATTTGGTACTTTTCACGTCAATGGAAAAAGTTAAAACTATACCAATAGTACCAAGAGAAAAGGTATTATGCAATCATGCACTTTACCTGGCTTTTAACAATTGTGGATGTGGACATTATGATGCTGTTGTAGAGTCAGTTAAACAGGTTACTAGTACAGATGAAGAAGTATATTCTACTGAAAATGAGGCATCGGAACACGAAAATCAGGAAAGAAAAAGTTGCCGTTGTGGTAGGGGAGCTGCAAGACAAAACAAAGAGAAAATGTTTTGTTTTCAAGTTCCAGGTGAACGTCGGTCACAGTGCCCTTGCTTACGCGAAATGAAAAAATGTTCGTCGGCGTGTAGTTGTTTTAATTGCAACAATCCTCACGGAACAAAGTCCGATAACACCACAGAAACATCAACATCCCAGAAACGAAATCGTGAAAAGCAATCTCTACAGGGATTACGAAAGACAAGTTTGGAGTACATGTTGCAATGCGGCGAGAAACCAAAGGACCCAACTTGGAACAGGATGGAAAAGTACGTTTTAAAATCACTTGTCGATCATTTAGTTGAAAATGGAGAATTCACGAACGAAAGTGACTTGACGAGTTCTTACAACGAGTTGGTGGATATAGTTAATGAAATACCCGACGTTAATCTTTTACTTCACAAAAAAAGTAAAAAGGTAGTGCAACAGATGATGAAAAAGACTACACAGCAGGCAGAATTGTTTCGGCAATTATATATACAACAAGCCGAAGAGAATGTAGCTAAGAAATCATAGACATGCATGCAGAAATCAGACACTTGTTTTGCATATATACAGAAAGTTCAATAATAGATTATGAACTTTTTCTACTGAATCCATATCTTGGTTTTATATTGTATTTAATTACCTAGGAAAGGTTATCATGTCCCGATATGACATAATCACTACCTATTCCTATGACGAAGTGAAATGAATAGATTTATTTTTAAGTCTAGTGCATGGGGGATCGTGTTGTGAATATTCATCCTGCATGTTTCGCTAAAGTGCACACAAGGATTAATTGGGCCGATTCAGATTTAAGTAAACGATATTTGAAAAATAAGCTGTCAACGTCATCTGACGATATCGTCAACTGAGAGTATTCGTCATTAACATTCGGCAAAACCAGTAATCGGCCCGAATAATCGTTGTGTGCAAACGTAGCTTAATGCGACACTAAATTAAATTAACAATTCAGTATATAGTCGAGTATATATATATATAGTCGCATTATCCATTCATCTGTACTATTATTGTTATTCATCTGCACTATTATTATGTAGATATAGTTCCATAGTTACTGTTGCTTTAATGCGACACTAAATCAGTAGCTAAATGACAATTAGAACACTTGGTGATCAAAAGACAGGATAATATTAGATATGTAGAGTTAATTATTTTGTATATAAGTTATGTTATGTATGTAAATATATTTCAAATTAGAAGTGTTGCATTTTTATAGCATGGCTTCCTTGCGAAACGACTAATATTAAGAAAGGCAGAATATTCATGAGCATGGTATGTCAACAACTGGCGCGCATATTTCCCGCCAAAAATTAATTTACGCAGTTTATGCTAGCCTGCATGCGCGCAGTCTTATGACTTCAAAACGATGTCGATATCATGAGACTGCGCGCTGGCTAAGTTTAACAGTATGCTACCAATTTCAGCAACAACTCTTGTTTTTAATAACCCACTGAAATGATACATAAACGCGGTCGTACAAATCTTTACATGTCACATTATATTGAACGTTGCATATAGTTTTACCAGTGGATGTATAAATCCATATGACCGTGATATGATTTATGTTTTAAAACACTACAAAGGTCAAAGGCAAGATGTATGTGGAAGTATATAAATGTCAACTTTCATTAATAACCTTATTGAGTGACACGGTAAATTAAAGTGCGGGTCCGTCCATCCACATGCATGAAGGATTTAATTAAGAGTGAATACAAACGCGAAACATTCGCGGTTATAGTCGTTACGCGCATAATACTATATAGCACATTAAAATATTAATTTAACATGCTTAATAGCTTTACACAAAATGACTGAAAATTAAATGAATATATTTTCGTGAAGTTGAACTATTCAAAATATTTCATTATTGTTATGTTACTGTCTTACTGATAATGTTTGATTAAATGCGTGACACTTCAAGTGCCACATTACCGGCTCGTTGTTATCGCAGTTCTGCTTCAGGGCAGGTATTTTGAATTTCGACTCTCTGGTTTAGAAATATCAAAGTATTATAACAATATTTCCTCAACAAATATGAGCAATAGACAAAGACAATAACATGTTATGTAAGATGGTGTGATCATATATACAGTAATAAATCTTTCATATGCAAGACAGACTGACAAAGGTCGCATAACAAACCAGATTGAACGCAAGAGCATGTATAGTCTAGTAGTAGAATTGCAATTTTAACTTAATCGTAAATCGCAATATATTTCAGCATTTTCTTTTGCGTCAAAGTAATTTCTGTTTTAATTCTCTGAAACAAAGCAGTATGTTTAGTTAAGTTCAGTATACGATATGGTTTGAAAGAAAAGCAGCGAATTCCTTTACTTGCCACTGGCAAAACTAGCTGGCGCTCTGGCAAAACTGGCGCTCTGGCAAAACTGGCAAACTGGCGCTCTGGCAAAACTGACTAGCACTTTAGTAAACTGGCGCTCTGGCGAAACTGGCGCTCTGGCAAAACTGGCGCTCTGGCAAAACTGGCAAAACTGGCGTTCTGGCAAAACTGGCAAACTGGCGCTCTGGCGAAACTGGCACTCTGGCGAAACTGGCACTCTGGCAAAACTGGCGCTCTGGCAAAACTGGCGCTCTGGCAAAACTGGCGCTCTGGCAAAACTGGCAAACTGGCGCTCTGGCGAAACTGGCACTCTGGCGAAACTGGCACTCTGGCTCTGGCAAAACTGGCGCTCTGGCAAAACTGGCGCTCTGGCAAAACTGGCAAACTGGCGCTCTGGCGAAACTGGCACTCTGGCGAAACTGGCACTCTGGCAAAACTGGCGCTCTGGCAAAACTGGCGCTCTGGCAAAACTGGCGCTCTGGCAAAACTGGCGCTCTGGCAAAACTGGCGCTCTGGCAAAACTGGCAAACTGGCGCTCTGGCGAAACTGGCACTCTGGCGGAACTGGCACTCTGGCGGAACTGGCGCTCTGGCAAAACTGGCGCTCTGGCAAACTGGCGCTCTGGCAAAACTGCCGGCGCTCTGGCAAACTGGCGCTCTGGCAGAAGGATAAAAAGCCAAAAACGTACATCATTTTGGCGTATGGCATTCAGAGTCGTTATAGATGACGTAAGACATAGTTTGTATAATTACCATATATTATTTATAACCAGAATAATTTTGTATATTACTTGTGACGTGTTCTGTGCTTTGCTACACGGCTTAATAACCGTTTTTATAGTTGAAATGTATCCTGTTCGATATTCAAAACAAAGGATTTATTTTATAACGGGATTCTTTGATTTCCCAACTGACGTACTGAACATCGCCAACTGTGTATATAAAAACAATAGTGCTGTTTTGACTGTGAATTACAGTAAGCACAGGATTAAAACCCGTTATTCCTTTTATTTACATTGCTGAAACAGCTCAACGATCAAGAATGATATATGTCGAAGTACAGCTACAGTATACTGTTATCACACGCTAAGACTCCTCGGTACGTGCGGTACAACTTGAATATCTAGGACGATATATGCACTAGACTGTGACGTATGCTTGTGTTTTGTTGAAATTATCGTTAGGGTTCGCTGTGGCATAATCAATATAATATATGCAAAATGGCGCGTAAAGAAACGTTTTCTGTACGTTGTAGGCCGTTGGATGAGGGTCGAAAATGTTCAATTCCGTAGCACCCCTCGTGTAACTACATAATTTTCACATGAATGGATAGATTAGAACTTACTTAGTTAGAATCCACTTCCCCCCAAGCGAAATAGTTGCACAAATTGAAGTACAGCCTCTCCAAAGTTCATGCTTCGCCGTATTTCGAAATCCGTGAACCGCCATTGTTGTGTTGTAAATACGCATGCGCTTGATCACAAAACACTTAATGCGCACGCGCAGATAACAAAAACTGATCTCAATCCAGAACTGGAGAAACCTGGACAAGAAAAAACTTATGAAATGTGCGAAAGAAGGGCTGAACTGAAACAAGATGACATCGGAGTGTTTTAAAAATATATGATATTTTTATGTTTTGTGCATTTTAATGTGTTTTTTTTTCCCAAACATTCTGAGTAATTTACCGTGTCGAGCCCTGGCCAGGAACACTTCCAAGCCAACATTACAATAACTTATTAAAAATATGTTATTTTATACTACAGCAATTGCATGACGTTCGCAAGCGAATCTGTTTTTCAGGCTTTAAATATTATCATAATCATAAACATTCCGGGCCGAACACAGTGGGGAGACAGGGGGCAACTCCCCCCCCCCTCCCCCCACCTAGAGAAAACTATATTTACGACTTTTAGAATGTCATTATATTAATTATTCTTCGAATATTTGGGACTTTTTTCGGCATATAGGCCATACTTCCCCCTGGTAAAAAAATTTTGCGTACGGCCCTGTAAACATCTAGAACATGCATATAGTTATTTATCAATTTTTAGGGGGGTTATCTATGGTTTGCACGTTTTATTTCCTTTAAATATGCAACATCGGGTACTGTGTTTTCATTAAAATATCATAATTGTCTTTCAAATACAATCCTTTCATGCTTCACGATTTTATACATTAATCTCACTCAATTAAATTTAAATATGTTGCCCAACAGCATTAAGACGAAAATCGGAACAAGACCAACAAATTACCTGACTCAGACTGAGTAATTTGCTCTTTATCAAAACATCACTGCTCTCCAAAATGTCTTCAGTGAAACCGTCATCAGTACTCTGACTCGATCCAAAAGTTACCCACCATGATCATCACCATTATCATCACCATCGCTGAGTGGTTATATTACTACCTGAAACAAACAAGCAGAAACTCGACGTTTCGAGCGAAGGCCATTCGTCAAGAGTTAGTAGCCTTCGCTCGAAACGTCGAGTTTCTGCTCGTTTATTTCAGGTAGTAATATAACCACTCAGCACAGAAATTTCACATTGGTACTACCACTCTGGTACAGACCGTTTCTGTTTTCCATCGCCTTTGATCTTCAAATAATTAGGGTAAATATGTTATCTAATTAACAACATGAAGTCGCAACTGGAACAAAAGCCAACAAATGATTAACACGATGTGGGTACATAGCGGTTTCTCGCTCAACCTGAACTCGGAATCTTTCTTTCAGCTGGTTGAAAGAAACGTTTTACTTACACTGTGTTATTCCTACAATCTCGATCTACACTGGACCCCCACCTTGTTCAAGTTATTACAACAGCTAAGTGATTACCTGATCTTATCAAACCATCACTGCATACTTTTCGAAAATTTTAGCAGCGATATGTCATATAAAACTTCTCCGAGTTCAAATTTAGAGAAGTCGCTTTACCCACATCGTGTTAATCATCTGTTAGTTAGCCTTTGTTGCGATTTGCGACTATATGTTGTTAGATTACATATTTACCCTGATTGTTTGAAGATCAATGGCAATGGAAAACAGATGATGATGGACAACTTTTGGAGTCAGAGCGGATAACGGCACGATGACGGTTTCGCTGAAAACATTTTTACAAGCGTAGCAAGGTTGGGGGTCGGGGGGGGCGGCTCCCTGGTAAAATTTTGGCGCTCCCTGAGAAAATTTATTCTATAAAAAGAAGTGAAACATGGCCCCACCTAGGTTTTTGCTGCCCCCCTCACCAAAAATCCTGACTACGCTTCTGGACATTTTGGAGAGAAGTGATGTTTTGATAAAGAGCAAATTACTCAGTCTGAGTTGGGTGATCTGTTGATCTTGTTTCGATTTGCGTCTTAATGCTGTTGGATGACATATTTAAATTTACTTGAGTGAGAATGGACAGTGTGTTGTGGAAAAAACAGTATGTAACCAGTCACTGAAAAACTCTGATAGGGAGTGTGCTGTGCAATATCTGTATCTGTATCTGTAAAAGCTGTTAATGCTAATTAGAAAAGATGGGAACTCCCTTTCTCCTGATATGTGCGCGTCGTATGCGCAAGTTATTAGGGAGTTTAAGCTTTACGTTTGCGGGAACAGCAAGACCGACTTTTCTTGGCATAATGTTCGTTCGATTTCTGCGTGTCATATTTTCTTCCATATGGCACAAGAATAGTTAAGCATTCTAGTTACAAAACAACAAGCCCATTTACTTTTTCTTGCTTTATAGCGTAAATTTTTTCTTTGCTGACGTTTGTCGTTGAATGCGAAGCTTAAGGTCTCTAATATAATTAGATTGCAAACGTCACGCAATGCTGTTGCATAACAATACCTCCTACAACCTACTAAGCTGTTTCCTTCTTTGTTTTTCTGATGATCTGAGATTGATTGGCGAAAGGGCGTTCGTGATAAAGAAGTACATGATCAACAACATAACACGACTGTTTGAACACGAAATTGGTTGATACAAAAACCGACTGCGTAATGAAGTTCCAGTCAGCTTAGAGTTAACCTCGGTTCTTTCTCATTAATGGATTAGATGCAAAGGAAATAACAAACAACGACCCTGGACTAATAAAATTGGCAGGAAAAGATCTAGAAAATAAATAAGATTGTGAACACCAAGTAAAACTCATATTTAGCACCCCCCCCCCCC